CCCCCCCTCCCCCAATGAAGGAGAGCCCTGTGGAATGGAGTCTAGGACTCACCCTCTACCCTTCCCAGGCCCACGCCATTCCCTCTTTAGTTGTGAGGCTTCATACTGTCGTCGCAAGGGGAGTGGCTTCGAGGACTAGTTATAGTTTGTTTTGCTGTGTTCTCTTTCTACCACAAAATTGAGAAGAAAGCTGAGAAGGGCACAGTGGAAAACCGAAATCCTCTTCTTTGCTACCCTTTCGATAGTAAAGGATGCCATGGTCGAGAGAGAAAGAGTTGGCAAAGATTGAATTTAACTCTTCGCAGCCATGGCATCCTTTTCTTATTTGTAAGCTCACCTCGGTCGAGTGGTTCCACATAAAGCCAGGAAGAACAGCTCACGATGGCCAACATGCCCAAGCAGAAGCGTTCAGCTGCGACATCGTTTTTGAGATCAATTCTTGCATTTCATTCCTTTCACCATCAGTGGTTTGCCGCACCAAACATGGCGGTCGCTTTTTCAGTGCTCCCAAACCTCGTGGTAGGCCAGGACGCAGGTTAATATTCTGGCTCTTTCGTTGCATTATGCTCTGCAGGAAATTCGAACTCAGACCTTTTTCAGATATTTGGCGAAACTGTTCCGAGGTGATCTGGATAAAAAGACCTCAGAAAAAGCTTCACGATTAGGACATACCGCGTTTCCAATCTATGGTCGAGGTGTTGGCATGTCCGAGCAGGATTCGCTTCGATTCCTGAGAAAAATGGTGGGCAATAATTCTTTGTTTAGGCCTACTTCTTTGACTTCTCGAAGTCTCACAAACTGTTATACTTTTCTGAAAGGAAGAACTAAGGGCCCCGAAACCTGTTCAGCTGTTGTACACACCCAAGGGTGGACGACTTTTCATGGCGTTGTAGGGGCTGTGGTGGTTGCACCATTCCCATCGGGACACATACTTTGCACGCAGGCAGCTTACTATAGCAAGCTGTACGCAATTGCGCACACTTTTGACAGTCGTCCGAATACCTCTTCCTTGCGACTCTTGACGTCACATTCTCTTCCTACTCCTTATTTTACTAATTTCAATGCCTTGTATTCCGCTGATTTTCGCAATTTCGCCTGCTCCGAAATTCTCGTGAATCGTCATCGTATCTTTGAGTATCACCATCAACTCTAGCGACAAAAGAAACGTACTTCGTACTCAGAGCTACTAGCCTTCTTGCTTTTCATTCTTTGATTCATTTCTTTTCGTTCTTTGATTCATTTCTGACGAATCCACCTTTTGAGTTTTTATATCCGACTATCCAGAGATCATCTTAGTCAGGTTTCCAAGTTGAGTGTCCGAGTTGGAATTCCTATGAATCTCGGCATTTTCCTGGGTAAAACTTCAAGAAAATAGGGAATCAACAGAATTTTAATAATTTTTTACTACCCCGACCAATAGTTCCTTTGATCGCTCTCGTCCTTCCACCCTATGAAGAAAGCGGCAACGTCGGAACTAGACTATCATGATAAATCTGTGTTGTTAGCCGAGTGATTGAGGAATTGAGTATCATACGATAAAGTTTCCAGGTTGTTGAAGGATATATAGAAGAGCGTCTGTATAAAACCCAGTACGCTACTGTAGCTTATGCAGAACTCACTCTCAAAAGTCGTCAAGCGCTCGTGGGAGGTCCCAAGCCCAAAGTAGGTTCTTACCCACGTTTTCCATGTTTTTCGGCGTTTGGTGCTACCACTGGAATTTTCAGATTTTCCTTCACGTTACCGCTGATAAAAAACGAAAGTCGATAGCGTCAGATCTATTGGCGAGGACTGCTGTCTCCGAAGCAAAAGCTCTTAAAGAAAAGTAGGTTTCTGAAGAAATTTATCGATTCATATCGATTGAAATCGCATTTCATTTTCTTTTCAGACACATTGTGAAGTATAGGGACGTGTTTACTCGTTGTCTACAGACGCTAACCGAAACTGTTACCCAAATCGCTGATGAATCACGCTTATCGAGTCCATATGCGATTATTTCACAGGAGGGTTTGGAACAGGTACGATGCTCAGACAGTAACTTGGCAGGGCTACGAAGGGGGTGGAATTCAGAAGTTAGGGCGTGGTAGATAAGCTTGAGAGGCTTCTTTACTGAGCTTGACGGTCATGTCGAGGAGCAATTTACACTCGAAGGCAGTGTAATTATTGATCTGCTAAGCAGTTAAATCAATACATATCAATGACATGCTGGCGCTAGAAGAATTTAGAAAAGAAATTCGATGTGTTCAGGTGGCAGCTCTGCTTCCGCGCACGAATTCTGACCTGGTGCAGGTCGATTCAATGACGTCCAGCAAAGTGGAGAGATATGGAGCACGAATAATGGCAGCGTTGAAATCATTCTGGAAGGAAGTAGATGGTGGGTTTGGTAGAGAGTACGTTTTGGTATTTGGATCATGGGCTGCACGGTCCTACAGGGTCACTAATTGGATTCCTCCGCTCTAACAGCTAACTGGTCAGACAATCCTTTTCATTACGGTGTTGCTCATAGGTTTATTTCGAATGCGCCGTGCATTCCAACATGACCTTGGTAGTGGACCGAGTTGAGCTATAGCAGTACTTCAAATAGGAACTTAGGAAAATAGGAAATTACAAGCCAATTAACATTGAAAATCGGCTACGATTCTGGATGGAAGTCCTAATGTATGAGCGCATCCCAGAACGGTATTGATCTTTGCTCGAACAGCCTCTATATCCCACCTTTTCATTCGTCACTGTCGCGAGCCAATATAGGCTCAGTGAAGCTTCCTCGCTCGTAGGGCATGAGGCGAACCACTGATGTCATTCAGAGCTCTCGTAAAAAAGTCTAATAATCGCTCTGGCGGCTGCTTCGGTGTTCGCTGGACCTCCCTAAGAATCCAAGCAAATTCATAACGAAGTGGTTCCATCGCTCCAATCAAAAGTTATGCTTGACTGACGTCTTTGATTCCGCTATCGAATATCGTCGATAGGGAATTGTTTGGGCTTATCGACCATCTTCACGGTGTGCTTCGAAGTTGATGAGTTTGAAAAAGGAGAAAGATTCGAGGGACCGAAAGCAGTCCTCGAAAAATCAGTGGATACCTCCCTCTACACCAATGGGGGAACCATGATTACTTTTTATTCGCCCAAGTAATCGGCATTTGATTGCTGATTTTAGTATCGAGTGATTTCTTTCTATTTCCTGTATCCCATCTTCCTGAACAAGTTCACGGAGTCATTCCCGGTCGCTGTACAACTTCCTGGTGCGGGTCTAGTGCCAGAACAAGGAACGTCAAAAAGGAACGTCAAACTTTGTGACAAGTGTCACAAAGTTTCCATTTGGGAACGAAAGAGCAGGATAGCCGAGGCGACGCCAGGGGCCGTGAGTTCAGTTGATCCCGGATTGACTGGATTTTGACGCTCTCCTACAAGTCATTGTTGAATCGGCTAGTAGGGATTCAAGAAAAATTAATGCATGGCACACCTTGGGTGACCTCGTCAGCAGCCAGTACTTTACCATTCATACTCGTTTTTAGAACGTGATGAAGCCGAAATGCGACAGCAACTCGAGAAGCTTAAAGACGTCCAGCCTCCTTCAGTTCAATCTTCATCAGATACCAACAACTCTGCGGGTATTGACTAGAACAGTATTACATCTGAACGACCATTCAATACTTCTTCATAATCAGGCTCTTCGTCGTACGTCCCAAATGGCAAGTTTGCTCCACGATTTGGTCGCGCCAACAGTGGTCGAGGACGAGGAGCAGGTAACTTTGGTCGGCCGAAAGCGACCCCACGAGTGCATAAAAAGTCTAGCCGCGGCAGCAGTCAGGGATCGTGAGTTATCAATTCCTAGTAGGGTCGGTGTGCCAATAGAATCGATTCTGTCAACGGCTGAGTTCAGAAGTGGCGGCACACGAGTAAAGCGACCAAGACCTTCTTTCAAAGCGCCCGCACGTGGTCGTGGAGCGAAAGTGGGCCGAGCAGCGCCGCCACTCAACCCGATGATGTTTCCTGTTTGAAAATTCTTTGTAGGATACTTTTGTTAAATTTTTATTGTTGATAATTGTAGTCTTTTGTTGTCTACTTATGGAAAAAGTTCTCAGGTTCAGCTTTATACCACCAATCGCCTGTTTTGGTCTCCAGAATATGTTATTTCATATCTCGGGAAATCTCTATCGTGTCATATTGTATCCTATCATCTCATCTCCGTTCATACTCGACGGGCACGCATCGGTTACCCTTGTGAAGCCTGCGCATCGATTGCAGCCTGGTGCCGCTATCATTGCGCTCTGGATGCGATCGATAGGCGCGTTTTGCGTAGACGCTCGCCTAGGCACATGTTTGTAAATATGTGATCTAAGAATTGTGTTTTCTCAGCTTTATAGGTGATATTACATATTTTTAATGTTATCAGGTTTAACTGTTTGATACTGGTGAGTTTATTGATGAGTATTCGACTCTGTGAGTGAAAACTTGTACCAATTTCTTTCTCCGAATTTTCTAAGTGCCTGATCCTGCCTTCATTGCCCCTCTTCTTATAGGTTGTGCCATGTGAATAAAGGTTGTACTATAATGTAGTTTTTTTCTAAAGCAAATACAAACAAACTTTCGATGAGCAGTAAAATCACGGTTTTCCTGGGATGCGCCTTGCATTCGACTTGCATTCGGGATCGTGGAAGAGTGAACAATCGCATAAGCAAAAGTTTTGCCCAAAAGCCCTTAGCTTGCGGTGGGTGGTCCTTGACTGACTGCGTTTATACTTTGTACTGACATCTTGCCGAGTCTGTTGGCTGCGCCACCATAGCCATCAATCGTGTAACTCTGCAGTTTCCTCACTGGAAAACGGACACGCTATTCTTGGGCTGCACATCTAATGCGGTGAAGCCGGCGGAAGAAGGTGACATTAGGTTCGGTTCAAACGAATCTACGCGAAGGAGACGGAACTATGCGGGAGGGGCTATACATGAACCAAAAGAAATTCCATCCATGAAGAAAAATATGCGGAATGATGAGACGACGTAGAGAAAAACCACCTGACGGATTTCTTGAAATCGCTACCACAAAATCGAACCTAATGTTCCCCTGCGACCTATTCTTCATTTGAGCTTACGGGTCCAAAACCAAACCAAAAAGAACTACACCATCTCGAGCTTCCTGCAAAAGGCTTGTTTCAGCAGGGAATAACTTTTTAGTAGGTGTCCTTTCTTTACCACACCGGCGACTTTAAAAATTCACATGTAGGAGTTTCTAGTGGTTGTCTGTCATGTTTCCTTCGTGAACTTCTTCAATAAACTTGTTTATTTAGTGTTTACCTCACTTCTTCTTCTTCTAGACCTGAAGCCTGAATTTAGAAAAAACCAAATTGGTGATCGATTATTCCGATTTAAAGTCGCCCAGCAAGCACTTGGTACGGCCGCATACATGGAGATGAAACTGTGCTCCTTCCTTGTCCCTTCCCAAGATGTGATTCGTCGTTAGGTTTAGGGAACTGACCTAGTAAGCTTCAAGGCTCTTCACCTTTAGTACCAACGTGAATTGGATATATCTGAGTCCTCCCTAGTCCCTATCTTCCTAGATATCTTGTCTTCCTTCACAGGGTCACTTTGATGATGACCAAACCTCCCATGTGGGAGGTGGGGGGTCGGTTATTGCTGGACAATGAGATACAACTGTTTTCACAGGTTACCTCTTCCGGAACCGTCCGATAATCGATAAATGTATCCTGCACTAACACGTTAGAAGATGACAATAAAGTTTCCAATGCATCATGTCTGAATAATCAATCGATATCCATGCAACCCATTGCAACCTAGAGTTATTAAAGGTCCTAATCTTATCAACTTTATAAAATATTACATCGGTAGGGAGTTCGGCACGAATTGCTTCAATATAGCACCTACTTAACCCGTACAGGCGGTGTCTATAGGGCAATCACTATGATAGGACGTGGACGAGTCCTCCGAGGTGGCCGCGGTGGGAGGTCACGACCGGATTCCTTGAGGCTCCCACCACGAAAACATTACTGGGATAGTACTTGTCACCACTTTTTGAAATTCACAGGCAGCCTTTTTGTCGTGTGCTCTCCCTGGATTGTTGGGTTTGAAGTTCTTCCATCTTTTTTTCATCAATTTTCCTCTATTTTTGAAGTTTTTCAAGATTAATATAGTGCGTTCGTGGTATTTGGGACCACCTAGAGTTCAATTATGACGACTCTTTATAGGATAAGAGGCTCAGGACAAGCTATGGGGCTTCTGCTAGTTTCATTCTAGACTTCGAGGTCCCTTCCAGATTTTTCTGCCCTTCAATTTCTATGTGGCTCTAAGAAAGGTCGGGCATTTTTGATATTTTCAAAAAGTTCTAGACTGCAGCAGTCCTTGGATGCTCTTCATAGTCCATCATGATTGATAAGTTCCTACAGTAGTCGAGAGTAGTCCTAATCGTCGTTATACCTTCACAAGAGCTGCCCCATTTGGCTGATCTGCGTCTGAAGCATTTTCGAGTATGCCCTCGCATCCGTGGTGAGATATAACGGGCGGGGTGCCGTTCAGTCATCTTGAGTTACCTTAGGTTTTCCAGAAGATTCTTTCCATCTTCATGAACAGTCTGTGCTAGTAATTCGGCTAAGGCTTTTAATCTTGCTTTCTCTCAACTACATTCATCTCCAATCTGTCTTTTTGTCCGTTCCACGTTGGACGCCTGCCTGTGCTCATTCATTCTGAAATGAGGCTTAGGCTCAAAGGTGGCCTTTTGATGTTTCAGTCCAATTGAGATTTCTCCATTATTCTTGTCACATTCTTCATCAATGTCAAATCGCTCCAATAAACGCCGTCTGCCGTTTAACGAACCGTATGACCATTTCGACTGGTACCGGACTCCTCTGCCAGATAATGTGGTCGCAGTTTTTAGAAGACCAGTAAGTTTACTATTTATTATTAACTTATTCCTTAACCACGTAATAGTATCTGGTCGGGAAAAGTGATCGCGATGCCAGAAAAAAGGGATTTACTTGAAAACATGAATTAGTAAAATACGGCAGGCTTGCGTGCGAAGGATGCGGCAGGTTAGGAGGGTCGCCCAAGGTCGAGATTTCTGGAAGGGCAGGACGGCTCAGCGTTTCTAAATGTATGTGGAATGGATTCAAAAGGGCGAAAGCACTTGAAAAAAAACTGTTGTTCCAACTTTTTTGGACTGGTCTACTAGTTTGAAGGCGTTATTGATTGTACTCGTGCAATATCGATCAGTACCTCATGATATGGGTATGGTGCCACCTAACGAGAAGTATTACCCTCCCGAGCATCTTTAACTGCAAAAAACATTGTTATTTGGTGTAAGTTCAGAAGTGGGAAAGGAGGGGGCGGGGAGAGGGGAGGAGGCTGACCAATTGTTGTACACCGTCGTCCCATTGGTCACTGAAGAATCTACGATAAGGTTAGATACTTAACGATTGACGAGTAGATCGCACTGCACTTGGCTCCCCCTCAACATAGGGGGCGGGGGCAATAATCAGCTCATATCTAATCGATTGCGCAGGTCTCTTGCAGCGCAAAGTATAAACAATGTCCAGCGCATTTTATCCTTGCTAAACTGTGTTGTCGTAGCAATTTTTTTTNTTTTTTTTGTTTCCATCTGAAACTTCTCAATTATAGTTTAACCATAGGTTCAAAAGTACGATGAAAATTTCAACTTGACCGAATTCATGCGTGATACCAGTTATGGCGAGCCGTTTCGTATTCCTCCATATGTGGTCTGCATAAGAAAAATTCACAAACCGGTGGGTAACTTGTTTCAAAACTATTGGGTCACAGGGCAAGCCTTTCTCCTGCTAGGTCTGGTCGGCTTACAAGACGCCGTAAAATTAGGAGAGGATTTTGTGGAGAGAGAAGGTAAAAGAGGAGTGTGTGTTAGCGTCGTTAAGTGACTGGATCTTCTAGGGAGCTTTTACCCACAGCTGACCGGGGTCCCAGTCGTGCAGTGTTGTGGGCCGACCTAGCTAGCGGTAGAAATGTCGCTCTAGTAGATCGGTGCTGGATATAGGAGAAAACTGTCAAGCCTTCATCATTCAGATCCCATGCCCGCGCGGAGATGTGGTGGCTTTTGAGCACTGCAAAGGACGCCGAGACTACCTGTAAGTAAATTCTCGGCCTCTTTGTGTTTATTTATAGTTTACAGGTTATTGCCACATTAGAGTAAGCCACTGGAGTTGGCTCTAGAACTACCGCTACTACTGGGCGCGCTCATGAGCCGTTGCAAAAAAGGCCACCTATATGGACGAGTTAGCCCGGGGGTTAGAAGTTCAAATCGAGTGTCTGAATTTCTGCTATTATTTGAGGAAGTGTTCTGACTTGTTACGTACTTTTGAAGTAATCGCACTTTAATTACAGCAATAACACATTTTTCGGGCCACCCTCTTGTTCAGAAGGTGGGTTCATTGATTGGCATGCGCTGGAAGGAAGTGGTCACTACGGTAATAGATATCTGTACGTCCTATTCTAAACCACATTTCTATTTCCATATCATTTTATCGAATTTGATGGATTTTCATTATAAATAAAAGCAGAGCTTGAGCATTCCGAGTGTGATGAGCAGCATACTTCATCGGCAGAGGGTAATAGGATGCATTATGTAATTCCTCAGTGTGCGTCGTCTGCCGCACAAGTGTGCCGCTCGCGTCGCGCGAAAAATTCGCTTACGCGTTCCACGGCGCGCATCAGAATTTCACTCAGAATTGTCCTGTTCAGGATGCAACTCGCTGAAAATCCACGCGACTACCACAATAATATGGATGGATTTGAGTTCAACGGTAAACACCTCGTCTTTCCAGTTCATGATTGTTATCAACTTTTTCTTTGGTATTGTAAACTTCACACCATCCTTCTTTATGCTTCACCGATATTGTATGTCATGGCGATGTATTCCGTGTGTACCCTGGGACAAAACCAGCCGAAAGTTCGAGATAGAGACTGCACGTTGCTCAAATGATGTGGCCATTGACATGGGTGAACACAGCGAAGGGGTAGACAGGCTCCGCCCATATCCATATACGGTTTGGGGAAGGAACGCTACCAGTTGGGAATGTAAACATCAAAGAGTGTAAAAGTGTAGTAGCATGGTACAGAAAGCTCATATACTTTTGAAATTGTAGCGACAACTCGTATGAGAGGAGGCGGGCTACAAGCACCTGCTCCGCCAACATCAGAGGTACCAATTTACCAGGTAGGTCCTAACTAATCTAAGGTGAAGTCGAGATAAGGGCATAATGAGTTCCATTTGCTGAATGTTCTAGGCATCACATGTATCCCATCACTCGACAGCTTCACACTCAACATCATCCCATGGAATGGAGACAGTGGGCGAGCAAGCAGTGAACGTCTTCAGTTCTCCAACCCAACCAGCCTGGGTACAGAGTCCCCAGACAGAAGCAATACAACAAGGCTATGTGAATGTGTAAGGACTGTCGAGGTTTACAATTCCCGTGATTACTAGAAAACTCTAGCGGATCAATTAAGTTATCACAATGTGGCGGCTAATGGTCAGATGACGGGTGCAGTGGTTGTCCCTACCGGAAATACAGTCGTGAAGGCGCCACCATCGGATGAACAATGTGTCTGCGGTAATGTTTACAAATAATCGAATATTTTAGAAATGGGTGGAGCTACCAATGGGGAGACGGACCATCTACCCCCCGGGTGCGTTTCGTTGCGCGCGTCCGTCACAAGTAGGTCGCGTCGCAGCCATCGTTTGCGGCTGGTCAGCCCGCGATGCTTGACAGACGTCGCAATTGTCAGTGGGGCATACCGTTTGCGCTTGGCCCCCGCGCGCGAAGTGGGCGGGATGACCTACTTTCGACGGACGCGCGCAACGGATGTTCTCCCTATCTTCCCACTAACGACTCTTCCACATTTCCCGGAAGCGCCACCCTTTTCGGTCGAACGTTTCATTTTTCTATGTGGACCGTTTTATCTGAGAGGCTTCTACCGTATTTCTAATGAACCTTTTCAGAATCCGATCAAATGGCAGAAATCAACGAGTTCTTTGTGACGAACCCGTATCAGCAAGCAGACAATCCTGAAAATCTTCAAACTGCACAGATGCAATCACCTACTGCCTTTTCATCCGATGGCGTTTTCAAATCAGAGGAAGTCGATTTCGGTTTCGATGCGTCGACCATCTATGAACCAGTGATGCAGCAACCGATATACACACAGCAACATGAACAGCAAGCTCTGATCAGAACGGCAGCTGGGGGCGAGTGCCAGGCGGTGGCAGGTTATGGGACATCCGCAGGCGATTTCGATCAGTCTCAGCAGAGATCTCAGAACTGTGCGGACTTTCAATACAATTCACCAGCTGCGTTCGAGAACTATTTGGAAATGCCGGTTGATAATATCAAGGTTTGTCTGCATACATCAAGTTAGTACCTTTAGTAGACCATGTTACTCAAAAGTTTAGCAAGTTTTTCTGAAAATTTCAAAAGTTTAAACTCCATTTCGATATTTAGAGTGAATTCACCTACACTATTCACGGAATCAATACGTGTGCATACTGCTTACAAATGTAAAGGTAGACCTGTAGAGTTACGGTAAGGAAGAGTCCTGCAATTGGTTTGTGTCGAAGGACGGTTCTCATCTCACCCTTTCTTTGCTTAGCCGTGTTTCCTGAGTTATCTGAATAGCAAGTTCCGAATGTTTCCAGCTGGGTGCCCTATTTCAGTGTACGCTCCGCCCCGCCCATCATGGGCGGGACTATACCGCCTGTGGTGCTCTGTATATCTTGAAGTTGACGTGACCGATTCATCCTAAGCCTGGCATAGGCTTATTGGGGAATTTTCCATCTTCATAGCATACAAATAGAGCAATTTGCATTGAGTAACTAGTAGTCAGCTACTATATTTCTGGAATACCGTTTTGAGCCGTCCTCTTAGATTTCACTGTTTTATTCGCTATATTTTCTCGTACCGTTGAGAGCAACTCTTCTTTCTCGATTGCGTGGGCTGAGACGGACTCAACCATTCATATATTTCCTATTAATAAAAATCCCAGAATTTTTTTTATTGTAATTTACCCTTAATGTGACATTTCAGAGCGTCTCCATGGATAGCAATAGCAATGATAATCCGTTCTTCAGCGAATAGTCGCTTTCATCACTGTTGCACTATTGTTGTTTTTTTTCTGCAGTTTGTAGTTTAATTAATTTCGCTTCATGTTTTCTCTTTTCATCTTGGTTTGCATTTTTTACAATTTGTTCAGAAGGTTTTTCATTTGTCGAGTACTCTCTGGAGGTGTTAGATGTCTTGGAATGCATACTGGCGGTATTTTTAGGCCTCACGCCCCCCCCCCCTCCCCCAAATTATTGTCATCCAATGGTCTGTTCAACACTGTTCAACATTGTAGCGATTAATAATTTCCTGCTTCACGTGTTTCCCTGCTATCGTAAAAGACGTATTGTTATCCATGAAGTGAGAATCGGTCCCGACTGGAGTTACCGGTGCCGGTAATTCTTACAGTACACCACAAAGGCAAAGGTGAGACTACGCGAGCTTCATTCGGTTTCATTTTATTTACAACAGAGGTCTATTTGCCCTTCGATAGCTTCCTACTTCCGCCTATTTCAGTAGGAGCGGAAACCCACCCATTGCACGTTCTTGTGACCATTAGTGATCTTTTTAATTCACACTGGACGTAAAAAGACTTGTTAAATCGCGGGTCAGTCGCAGACGGCACATCTCATTTTACGACGAAACACGGTCTCTGCTATCATTTTACGAGTGTTGGTAGGATTTCGGAGATGCATCGATTTTGCGTTGTTTTCATCTATGTCACGTCGGTTTTCCTGTCACAATGTTTTTATGAATAATTCTTCATTTGAATAAATTATCAAATTTTGATATCGTTGATTGATTATCACTGGAACGGTTTCATCCGTGTTACGTGACTTTGGAAAATTTCGTGCTCTATTTACGATGCCGTTGCTTACGTGACAATGCGACGCGTTTAGATAAAAACTTTGCAAACCTGCGAACACAGACAGCTCT